ATGTGAGAAAACCCTGCTCAGCAAGCCTGAAACCAACCATTGTGCAGTGGCACTCTTCCGTGTAAGAAAGAATTGGCCAGGTTATAACCACACTTTCTTTTTCATAACATTAATCTTTAATGCTTTAGAAAATAACAAATTGAAAAGGTTAGGTAGTATGCAGAATTATTTTTTCACGGCAGCAAGCCAAATTCCGATTTTATTTATTTGTATGACCCCCTTACATCTACTTATTCTTGATTACTGCTGGTATATACCTGAACCTGGAAACTAGCCCAGTATTTAGAAAAGAAAAGATAATGTTTCCAAGAATGAAACAGGAATAGAAACTGACAAATATTAAAGTTTCAATAGCTTTAAGCTGCAAGTATAAAGACGCATATATACAGCTATATCTGTATCATCTATATCAATAAATCTGCCGTTCCCTGGGCAGAGTTGGAGAGTCTGGAATGGCAAATGTAACAAAGCACAAGTAAAGGAGTAGAGGATCTTCAGTTAGACAGATGACATGACTTATGACCCTAAAGACTACAAACTGTAAAGAATATAGTATACCTGTACTGCAAAGAAGACAGTAAAATTGCTTCAGCATTCTGGGTAGTGTAAAGTATTTACCCTTATGTGTTTTTTGCATACTTTTGTGTACCCCTACAGTTCCTTAAGCTAGACATTGTTGTGAAGATAGTCAACTAAGGAGTGGGCTAAGAACTCTGGTTTTAAGTGACCCTTTCGTTACTGAATTTTGAAGAGTACCAGTTGCATACAGGGGATAGATTTGAATATAAACACAGAAGAGAATTTTTGAAATCATCTTGATAACTACTGCTATAAATGTACCACTTGGGGTGAATTTTCTTTATACTTAGTGAATGACATGAATTTCCTGTCCAAAATCCATGAAAACATGGAAATAAAAACACAGAAATACTACAGCAAATACAAAAATTCTTGTATGAGAGAGATATAAAACAATCATATTGGGACTTAAGTACAGCAATGATGCACATTTCCCAATTCCATTACAAAGTATAGTCTCTCCAGTAAGGAGGTTTCCTATGCAAATGCAGTTAAGTCTTAGTATTTGTAATTGAAAAAGTCAAGTACTTGCTCATAGTAGGGGCTGCAGTATTAAAAGCGTTGCGCTATATGACTCCAGAGCCAGTATAGCAAGGGTTATAAGCAGAAGGGTGTTGGATCTTGTGTGTAGGGTGCAGGATGCTGCTTCTATGCCTTTGGGATATCTTTGAAGCAGACATCCAACAGCTGCTTTTCATTTCCTTCAGTACTAAAAGAAGGTAGTCAGTTGTAGTGGGTACTTTGTACCTCATCCTGCTCACACTGACTGACTCTGTCGTGTGACTGTGCCCAAAGGAGCTGACAGAAACCTTCCTGTGAACACACCCTAGTACAGTCACCTAGTAAACCATGAGAGAGACTAAATTCTGTGCCATTCCTGGACTGCTATTTATAACGCTGTTTATCTGTAGTTCATATGCATGTAATGTATAATGTAGTTTATCTGCATGTAAGTTGTGTTCTTATGTGCCTTCATACAGATTAACCAAATTTGCCAGGTTCTTAGTCTGCTGAAATAATCTAAATACTTTTAAAGGTCCTGTAAACCACACAAGTAGATCTACAGTATTTACAGTTCTGTAATCAGTAATTATAGTCATACCTACACTATAGCTACTAACATTGAGAACTACTAAGCAACCTCTAAAGTCTGAATTTCAGGAGTAAAGGCACCTCTAATGATTTAATAAAGCATAACGGAAATAAAGTTTCCTATTCACTGAATGACAACACCAGTTCTTCCAATAAAATGGAAGTTGGTTCCCATAAGATCCTGGCAGATGATGAAGACAACAAGAAGAAGTCATCTAATAAAGGGCAAAAAAGAGGACCTTGGGAACTACTGACTTGTCAGCATCGTCTCTGTGACTGGGAAGATTATTGCAGACAGGGAGGTGATTTGAGACACCTAGCAGGACCTCACCAAGGGCAAGTCCTGCCTGACCAACTCAGTAGCCTTCTCTGGCTCCATCAGTGGACAAGGGATGGGCTAAGGATGTCATTTATCTGGACTTCTGTAAAGCCTTTGACACAATATGCTTCTGTCTAAATTGGAGAGGGGGCAAATCGATGGGTGGACTATTAGATGGATAAGAAAGTGATTGGCCAGTCGCATCCAGAGTGTAGTGGTCAATGGCTCAGAGTCTGAATGAACATCAATGACAAGTGGGGTCCCTCAGGGGTCAGTATTCGGACCTGTGTTATTTAATATCTTCATTAATGACGTAGACATAAGGATCAAGTGCACCTCACCAATTTGTGGATGACACCGAGCTCAGTGGTGCTGTTGACACACCTGAAGGACAGGATGCCATCCAGAGGGACCTGGACAAGCTCAAGAACTGGGCCCATGTCAGTCTCCTGAGGTTTAACAAGACCAAGTACAAGGTGCTGTGTCTGGGCAACCCCCAGTACTGTCACAGGCTGGGGGATGAACAGATGGAGAGCAGCCCTGAGGAGAAGGGCTTTTTGGGTGAGAGGCTGGACATGACCCAGACATGGGCACTCCCAGCCCAGAAAACCAAACGTGTCCTGGGCTGCATCCAAAGCAGCGTGGGCAGCAGGGGAGGGAGGGGATTCTGCCCCTCTGCTCTGCTCTGCTGAGAGCCCACCTGGAACCCTGCACCCAGCTCTGGGGGCCCAGCACAGGGAGGACATGGAACTGTTGGAGTGAGTCCAGATGAGGATCATCAAGATGATCAGAGCACCTCTCTGGTGAAGAAGGCTGAGAAAATTGGGTTTGTTCAGCCTGGAAAAGAGAAAGAGTGACTTAATTGCAGCTTTCCAGTACCTGAAGGGAGCCTACAAGAAAAATGGAAAAGCACATTTTACAGAGTATGTAGTGACAGGATGAGGGGGAATGGATTCAAACTGAGACAGTAGTTTTATATCAGATATGAGGAGGAAGTTCTTTACTATAAGAGTGGTGAGGCACTGGAACAGGTTTCCCAGAAAAGCTGTCTGTGTATACTCCATCCCTGGAGTGTTCAAGGCCAGGTTGGATGGGGCTCTGAGCAGCCTGGTCTAGTGGAAGGTGTCCTTGTCCATGACAAGGGGATTGGAACTAGATGATCTTTAATGTCTCTTTCAACCAAAAACATTTACAGTGTTATGATCAACAATATTATTGAGGGAGTAGAGAGAGGGAGAAGAGAGAGAGAGAGAAAGAGGTCAGCATCAGCTTGCTGCTGCTCAAAAGCAGAATAATAAATTGGCAAAATTGGCAAATTTTGTGTTGACATTTTTTCTACAGAACAGCTAAATTACCAGGGATATCTCTGTAGTCATTAAAGAAAATTTAAACAACTTACAATCCTGCTGGGTGTGGAAATATTTTTGATACATGTTTTGTTTATGTGAGCAACATATACTTGCAGGGTATAATGAAACTACTCACTACTCATTCTGAGCAACTTGTGGTACTCAGGAAAACAGTTTAGTTTGCACATTAGTCAAAACCATTTCCAGTTCTTTAGTCTGCTCCTGTCTTCCTAGTTTGTGATTTTAAGTTGATTGTCAGACATTAATAAAGCACATCCTCAAAATTATATGTGTAGATAAAATGCAAGAAAACTCTTACATTTCAGGAGCCAGTTCAGCCTCTTGCAGCTACAGCTATGCAACATCAATCTCCTCCATATACTTGAACCAGTTGTTTGACAATGTGTGCCATTTTTTTACCAAAAGTAAAAGCTTGGTTGAACATAGAATTAAAATCAAGGTCCTCTTCTAGGATATGACCAAGCATCAAGATGCATGATGATACTATCTCTTCCTTTTCTCCCTTCTAATTAAAGTTAATTTTATTTTCAATAACTTCAGAACAAAAAACAAACTCTGCCTTGATTTTACAGCATATTCAGATAGTCGCAGAGCATTTTTACCTCAGGGTACATTTTTCCCAAAAGCCTTCTACAGCATACAGGGATCAGTGGACACATACATCTCTCAAGCTGTCAAGGAAAGAGTTCAACCACAGTGTCTGAGTACAGCTTGGGTTCTCTGAGCACTGTCAGAGCTCTCCAGTTTTGTCCATTCTACCTGCAGACATGCTCACTCAGTCATGCTGCCTAAGCATCTGTACTTTTGCATATGGAAACCAGACCTTAGCATTCTGACTTTTAAAAGTTGGTGTTTTGTAGTTTTTTTTTTTAATACTAATGCAAGTGGAAACAAATTCAAGCACTAGGCAGGATAAATCACAAGCATCCTAGGAGTGCCTGCTTAGGGGAAATCAGTTAGAAACTGAGACCCCAGCATACGCTAAAAAATTATTTTGTATAACATTGGGTTTTACGAAGATTAATGTACAGATACCATTTGTTATCTGATCCCAGTTTTGGTCCAAAATGAGTAATCAGAGACTTCACATAGCATGGACACAACTAAGCATTTTCACTTCACCAAATTTAAAATATTAAAAAAACTTCTAGCATTAAAAGCAGAAAACAAAGCTCACTCTTAATGCTGGAACACCAATCATAGATGTTATCTATGCAGCAGATTTATAAGCAAGTCACAAAATTCACAAATAATCAAAGTACAAATAATTTAACATTTAATTACTCCTGTCAGTAATGCTTTCAAGTAATTCATATTCCAACTACTGTGAACAATGCTCCTTACATTTAGTAGACTCCATGACTATACTGTAAAGTATACTTTTATATGACTACAATATTAATTTATAGGATAAATTTTGTAAGATTTGCCCTTTGGCAGGGTTGATGAGGCCATTATAGAAGAAAAAATCTGCCACTAGTAAAAGCTAAACCCATACAAATATGTGGAAAACAGTCATCACCAAAACTGTTTATTTAATATCATACCTATTATAAGATCAGGTAGTGATTAAAAAATAAATAATGTAATGAGAAAATCAAGACTCTAGAAAGAACTGTGACCTGGTATTTTATATTTACCTTTGGTATTCCAGATGTATCCAGCCAGTTCTGGAAGATACTTTCTACAGTTAACCCAGACCTTAAAAAAAAAAACAAACAAAATTTAGAAGATATGCAAAGAAATACCAATTTTTTTCAAGTGAAAAATAACCCTTTAGAAGCTAGGCAAAGCTTCTAAATTCAAGTATTGGTTGTACTGCAGTGGTACAATATTCTTGGGGGTTTTTTTTTAATGACTAAAAGCATAAAAGGTCCTATGAAAAAATTAAAAGTAGATCAGGTTTTGTGTACCTAAAAGTCAAGTCATAAATTTAGTGCTGATAAGGCTTGATGGAGAAAGTGTTATGTGGTAAACTATATCTACGAAACACGTAAAGTATGAAGTTACATGTTACATGGATAAACTTCGGGGTTTTAAAAAGCACTGATGGATATTAATTCTCAAAGTTATTAAATGTCTAATATACTTTAGTTTAGTCCTTTCTGCACTCTCTTTATATCCTGATTCACAGTGAAGTTATAGAATAGTCTAGAGCTTTATTTCCCTGCAAAAGGAAATAGTCATTATGAAGCAGTGTCAGACTGAAATAACCACGCACATAAGTATTTGTAAATTCAGAAACTATATTTGCACTTTTACTTTTGTCAGGAGACTTTGTGATATTTACTTCAACTCTGGTGGAAGACTTCCCAACTTCCAGGGAAGCCAAATAAAAATAAATAAATAAAATAAAAATAATTTGTAGAAAATTTCACACATGCAAGTACTGAAAAAAGGAAGTTGAGTAAGCCCTCAATGAATACAAATATTCTGAGAATCAGAACATATGTGTATTATCCTGTGTATGGTAATGCCTTGGCAAGATTAATTCTAAGTCTTGCAGTTACTTTCACATATGTAATGTAGACTCAAACAACAAAGCATTCATGAAAAGAACAGTCATTTCCAAGCTCTGAATCAGGAAGGCAAACAACCCAGTAAACAATTTTAACTGATTAGATGATTTAAATAATGAGAAGCCAAGAACGAGCACTTCTACATAGCCAGGATTCTGAATTTTCAGGAAAGCACCACTGTGTGCATCAGATCACTATGTAAATCAATTTTCTACAGAAAACTGAACATATATGTGATGCTTGTGTAGTGTATTAAAACAAAAGACTAAACATCTAGACTTGTTCCTTGTAATTTTTGCAGACTTATTAAATTTAGAATATTTGACTGCTAATCCCTCAGACTATAATTATCTTTATCTTACCACTGTGCTCTAAAAATTGGTGTCTAGTCTTAAGTCAGGTTAGCTGAGTCTCTTGATTGGGAAGAGTGATAAAGAGAAATATTTCCAGTCAGCCAATTTACTTCCCCAGAAGAAGATGGTCTGGATTTCTTATTTCTGTCTGGTCACTAAAAAGGGTGCATACAGAACTAGCTTAAAACTGGATACCAAAATGTTATATAAGCAAAGGTAGATCACTTGGACTATACCATTTACTCAGTCTCAAGAAGCATAAGCATTCTGTCTCAAGAAGCAGGATAAAAATTTTTGTTATTTGTTGTTGTATGAATTAAACCCAATACTGCTTAGTGTTCTAAGCACTAAGGAGCTGAGAAAAATTCCCTTAGTCACACATTTAATTTGTCTTACCAAGGCATAAGGAACACAGCTTCACCATGCCAGCTAATCCCCTTTTTCCCTTATCCCCAGAAACTAAACCTATAGTGTGAGAAAAAAATCTCTGCAAAATAACCTATGTTATATTTGCTATGCAGAGCTGTTTAATATACCCTCTATTTAATTTCAAAAACTGACTTTGAAATGAGCTTATAACACTCAGGGGAATCACACTGTTCTGACACTACACCAACCCAGGCATAAACCACTAGAAAGTTTCTCAGTCTCTTCTAAAACTTTGTCATTTTTCTCAAGAGCAAAACCAGTAACACTTCTTTTTCTCTGCCTGCAGCACCCAAAGTTTCAGAAAAACGCCTGTCATACGAAAATATGCAATCTTCTTTGTACTTGCACACAAGTACTTTTTATAGTTCCAAATTAGGATATTCTTGTGGGCACCTATCAAAAAAGCAACTTGTTTAAGCGGCATTCAGTATTTTTTAAAAAAATACAATAGTAATGAGCAGACTATTGCAAAGACCTGCTCTGAATCTCTTAATTGTCAGTGCTGAAGAACTATGAAGATGTTGGAAATGCTTCTGCTAAATTGTTTGACTTAGAAATAATCCCCAAAAAATTATCACAAACAGACTACTATCTCAAAACAAGTTGTCCTAGAGAAAGAACAGAGAGCCTGATATTTGTAGAGGCTGCAGTTCAGTAAGGGCATTTACCACCTGCTTACATTGCAGTTAAGCATCTGTAAGGACTTAAATCTGGTGTTTGTGTGAATTCCTGAACAGCCTTCTGCTTAAGGTACTGAACAGTGGGATCTGTGTTGAGTTGACTAGCACTAACTCTTACGAGACCAAGTTTCTTCAATTGATTTGTACAACAGTTCCCTACTGTAAAATGAGAATGTGGTTATATCATTATCTCATCCCTTATTTATTTCTTTAGATGGGAAGCCCAATCAGCCTAGGAATGATTTCCTAATATCACACACGCAGTTCAGATTCAACATTTTAAAACAAAGTCTGTAAAATACTAACATTAATGATAATTTGAAAATTGGCGTTCTAAAAGATGGCTATACATAAAGTTTTCACTGCACAAGGCTGTAAGGTACTCTACAAATTTTAACATAAACCCACTTAATGGCTAAATCAAGGAGAAAAAAATCAAAGTATGCAATTGTTTAGGTAAAGGAAGATCGAAAACTCTGCCACATTCAACTGAAAATACGTAAACAAGCATATCTGCTTCATCATACCTTTATACATGTCAGTAATTTTCAAAGTAAGCTATTCCAGCTAAATATGCAGGCATAATTAGAGCAAATCAAAACACAATGATTGAGGATTCTGTCAACTAGACATACCTTCCTACAGATAAATTTTCTTTAGATTTTATCCAGCATACATATTTTGGCTCATTTAAAAAAAAAACAACTGAGGAATCAAAACCACTGGGAATAATTTTATACGATCATTTGCTTCAGTAGTTAGGTCCCTACCAGCTGTTTGTCTCATTCAAAATCACCACATTCACAACAATGTGCATGTGAAAGAAAGAGATACACCTATACAGCTGAGTAACTTGAAATTGCAGCATTATTTTAGCACTTAATTGACTATTTGTGAAGACATCCAAGCAACATGGTTAGTGAACCTGGGTTATAAACAGCAGAGCTATAACACAAGCCTTCCTTTGTCTATCATGTATTATTAAAACCATAGCTTATTAGTAGATTTGCTTGCTTTATTGAAAGAAATTAAGTAAAAAAATACCAGCAGAAAACCCCTATAAGCAGAACTGACCTGATCAAAAATATTTTGCAATCATAAAGTAGCTGCACAAGAAGCAGCCCTGATTTATCTAAGACTGGTGAAACTTTCTGTTACAAGGATAAACACTGATTCTTTGCACAGCTCACATGTCGGGCAGATGTGGAAAGGATCATCTTGCAGCAAAGACTGTGGATGCAAGCCTTGGGGAGAATAGGGCCACTGGAGTTTTATCAAATCTAGTGCATTCTGATATACAGAAACATAAGAGAGGGTTTCTTGGTGTTTAGTTTGTTTGGTTTGGTTTGGTTTGTTTCAATGTAGTGAAGTTTCAAATTATGAGTAAATAAAATGCCTCGGTGACATAAAATAAAAAGTAAATAAAACCTCTCCGTGGGATGTATTGTAGATTTTCCACAAAAAGGCAGGGATAATGTGAGACTTTAGCCAGTGCAAGCAGTATTTTAAAAGGCTTTGTAAACACAGAAGGATAATTATCAATATTTGTTTGTCGTTCTTTCCATTAGTCCTTCACTCAGATAATCAGTCTTAAAGGCAAGTTAAGAAATTATAAAGGATCAGAAGGTACTGCTCAGCTTATCTGATGTCAGTATTCACAGCTGCAGTCCAGAAGGATCCTGCTTCACAGCGTGGATTCCTGCAGCTAAAATGCCATTATAATTGAGTCAGAGCAGGAAGTGAAGTAGCCCTATAAAGTAGGCAGAGAACTGTCTTCCTCCAAGTACAGAAGGCAGCAAAAATCAATAAAAAGTTACATCTGGATCCTGGAGTTATTCATCACTGGGAATGTAGTAAAAATAATATCCTTTGAATAAAAACTGAAGGATTTAAGTACTTGGAGGTGAGAATCTTTTAGATCCAGTCTCTGTTTCCAATAGTAGAAAGCTAAAGTTACACTACTACAGTGTTAAATAACTACAGAAAATTTCCACACTGTTTCATGATAGTTTTCTGCCAATGTTCATCTTGTTCTCATTACAAAAGCCTCCCATAAGTCAAGTTCTACATAGTTTGCCCCTGTTGCCACAGCTGAGGGCAAGATTTGGTTGGATTACCTACTACAAATGTCTCTTTACTTATTTTTCTTTTTCTTTTTTATGATTAAGACAAGCCTCCATCATAAACTACAGTGCATTAGAGTACTTAATATTTGTCACGTTTGAAGAATGTAGTTTAAACAGTTTAAATTTTTTTGGTAGAACTGCACAAGTCTGAAAGGTTTTATTTATGCTACACAGTATTTTTTCTCTAATATTGAAATGCACTTCATTCCTACATCAAACTTTGTGCAAAAAAAACACTCATCAGCAGATGATCTCTAAAAATACTTGATTTTTATCTTTCCTCCATTTTCTTTTACCTCAGGTGAGTATTTCTGTACTAGAATGTATTCAAGACTGAAAAAAACATCCTCCCAGCAGATAAGAAATAAAGGCCTTCTGTATATCAAGATTCCTTGTATTGCTGCTGATATTTGCCAAGTAATTTTGGACATAGATAGTTCAGACATGCTATATATATGACCGTAAAATGAATTACCATATATCTGAAATTTCTTTCATGTATTCTGGAATGTGATGCATCACAAATGGAGCCACACTTCTTTTGCATTAGTCTCATTGAAAGTTTAAATATGTTTTTAGGCAGAAAAATGGATGCTTATGCAACAATATTTTGCACTGGGTTTAGAGTTCAGAGAAACACAAGCAAAAAAATAAAAGGAAGGAAAACAGAGGGGTTTTTTAACAGGTCAATGTATAATCATACCATTAAAAAAATCACTTTCACATCTATTCCATATAATATACCTCATCATATTTGGGCTAGAAACTATATTGAATCATATATAGAGAGTATTATCCACTACATCACTGGAGAATATAAAAGCACCCAAACTAAACTTGAGATGCCACAAAACATATTTTCTCAATGGTAACTAGCTTCTCTGTTCCTCGACCATTAGAAACAGAAGTGTTTCACTAAGAAACTCAATATATTTGACCTCTATGAATATAATATTTTTTTTTTTTTTTTTACTCCAAAGCACTCACACAGAGTTATGAACACTTTTGCAATCCTGGCCTTCAACACTGTATTTTTCAAGTGAATATTTTTAAAAACAGTAACATGTACAGCTCCTCTACAAAAGACTCTTTATTTGTAGCACAGCCTGGAATAGCACAGAACAACCCAAAATATAAGCCTCAAAGTGCTGCTAAAAACTATCATCTTCAATCAGTCACAGTCACACATAGGAGTATTTTGAAGCACATGTCAGGCAATTAACACTCAATTTACATTCATGTTTTCCATCTTTCCTCCTGCAGCACAATCTATGACTGAGAGGGGATGTACCAGACTAGGTGAAAAAATCCATCTTCTCTGGTATCCCAGATTCACAGCAAAGTTCTCGCATCCTTGCTGTAGGGCACCATGTGCCAAAAGCAGCTGGCAGGAGAATCACAGGTTAGTTTGAGCAGGCAGCTATGCCTGGCACTTCAGATTGCATTATGAACACACAACATCACCTGACATGCAAGTTAAAGGCACTCTTTGGGGAGACCATGGTATAGGATTACCACAAGTCTCATAATTTTTTTGTGTATATGTAATGGGAATCTTCAGGCTAGCACTATTTCTGGCTAGCACATATTAAAATCTTATTTCTACATATTTCTTTGGCTTCTCTAGCCCAATTATTACTTACTGCTTTTGTTTAGGAATGTCTTCCAACAGCATGCTAAGAAAATCCTGGAAAATGAACAGAGGAGCACAGTTAGTATGTTTACGAAGCCATAACCCTGTGTCTTCATTGCTAGTGAGAGATTAAAGACTACAGATAACAGAATGATAAGAAAAAGTTTATATATCCACTGGTGATATAATTACAACATAATGTATATTGTTATCTATATATTATATTGTCAGTTTTCCAACCCATTCAAGCAATGAATGTCAACACTGAAAGAAAATGCACTTGAAAAGCCTGCTGACTATTTTAACACAATTCCACGTTCCTACTTTTTTAGACACATACAAACTATACTTAAAACTCTTAAAGGCTGAAGATTTACATACAAAAGTTAAGAAACACCAAATTTAAGGGTGTTTACACTCTCTTCCCTGTGCTTATGTTATCACGTTGTCCTTCATTACATAACTACATGAAGCTTTTTCTTCCTTAGTGCACATGCCTGATTAGACTACATCTACTCCTCATTCCATGACAAAATTTGCAATATTGCTGATATTACCACATTAGCTAAGGAGTAAATTCTTCAAATAAAAGGTAGCTAGAATTTCTTTCATGGTTTTACAAAAACGATTAAATGCCAATGGAAGAACATTACTATCATCCTCACTCATGCCAGTATGATAAGCCCTCTTAAGAAAGTTACACCTGACATCACTAAAAGGTTCTCTGGCACCGTATGTTCTACATAACTTGATCTTAATGACAAACACTTTGAGAGAATACACTCCTTTGAACAATCACGTAATAATTGGATTTATTAATATGAAGCTGTTTCATAAAACCAATGCATCTGCTTTATTAATACTAATCTTCATGGAGACAAGTTTCATAGGCTAATAATGTTCCTGACTTCAGTATACAAGTACAGGCTGACTGTACTGTGCAACAATTGCGAATTGTTCCTCTCTAAGGTCTTAAAGAATGTTTCCTCAAAGGCAGAAATCTTTTATTTGTGGACCATGCAATAACAGTCAACAAAAGATACCATTTCTCCGTCTGACTAGAGCATTGTTAGGGAATCAAAGTAAGATTGACTGCAAATTGTAACTACTGGTAACATAGTTAAGCCTTCCTTCTTTAGATTATAAGCGAGACTCAGGCTGCATTGCAGTGGCTGCAAAATTGGCTTATAACAAAAAGTAAATTGCATAGTGCTGGGCTCAGTGTTGCTGTGGCAAGAACGCCGTCATTAACTGTACTAATTAATTATAACTGTACTAATTAACTATTTTTATTAACTGTACTAATTAACACTATTTGCACTGTGTGTACATTAATGCAGCTAGATTCCCCGGTTAGATTCCATCAATTTTCCATAATCAATCACACAGTGGATGGTTTTATAATCGGTATACTATATTATGAAATTAAGCATCTCCTTTGTTTTCCAAACATCAAAAAAAAGGCACTGTCATTCTACATGCCTTCTTAAAATTAGGATTAATCTATCATATCTTATTTTAACTGCTCGTATTTCAATGCTCCAAAACAGAGTAGGAAAGCAAATTACCACTTACCTCATATTAGCATGGCTTTTAACATTTGTCTATTATCAAGTCTGCATGATGCATCTCATTATAGGTCTGACTTTTCAGCTGTTTATAATTTTGTCATTTTAACCATCTGGAGTGAAATTTTACTCTCAGGCTACTTTTTCTTCCTCCACAGATGAAATGGCTCAGAAGTGTCCAGGAGAAAAGTCAGAGGGTAATGTGGGGGTTTTTAAGATTTAATGCCACTTCTTTAAGATGCTTTAGTAATTTTACACTTAGCAGCAAAGACTTGTGAATGACTATGGTAATCATAACTAAATTGTGGATCAGACCATAAAGCAAATTATAGTTTGGGTTTTTTTTGTTTTTGTTGCATGTAATTCAATGAAGATATAAAGAATATATGAGTTAGAAAATACATGCTACCACAGTACTGCAATATTAACAAACTGATTAAATAATATCACTTTCTTATATATTCCTGTTGTTCTTACCTAGCTAGAGACCCCAAGGCTAGAAAACAACTTTTCTCTATACAAAAAACTGTTATTCTGCAGTTTGTGGAATTCTATTGACATTTGGCCAAGCTGAAAAAAACGTTGAAAAAATGAATTCAACACATTTCCTAAGGATCTGCTAGCCCCTCATAATTAAATTCCCTGGTGACTCTCGTCCACTTTCACCACAGTCGTGACTGATGCCAATAACTTTAATCACAGTTTTAGCACTGGGCTTTTGCTGGACAGATCAAATCTGGATGCAGGCTGTGAATTTGACATCAAGGAGAAATTTTCTTTGCTCTGTTAATGGATGTACTGTGTCTGAGAAAAAGAAGGAAGAGCCAGGACCCAAAACCAAAGAAGTAGCTTGAAAGAAGTAACTGGAAATGAAGGCTACTTAAAGCATTAACTAGATATATGTGGTGTTAGAAGACCTTTTATTTAATATCAAAAGATGTTTTATTACTACTCCAGCTTTTGTCTTGAGCAATGGCCAGCAAGTTTCTACCCTTGAACTGTTTTGGAGAATCAGGCAAGTACCTCTCCCTGATTACAAATATTGATATCAAAAAAAGAACACTCAATATTAAAAGACAAATTATGTCTTCATATTAAATCCTCAAATCCAAACATTTTAAGTACTCTACAACCAAGAGATACTTTTGTTTAAATTCTCTGACTGGAATATAATGGGGTGGATAAAAACAGTGGAGATGTTATGACTGAAAGTGATAGGTCCAAATGGACATTCACTTGGCAACAAATAAACTTTGACTGCACTTGCATCCAGTTCCTTGAAGGAATAATCGTCTCAAAGTTAAACTATTCCTAAAAAATATGCAGTTTGTAAATGACATAACTAAGCAGCGAATATTAATTTGTCCCTTCTGGGTGGGAAAAATAAATAACGAGCACCCTTCTAGTTTCATGTTTATTTGGAATTCCTTCCCTAGACATTCTTCTGACTTTTGGTGACAATCCCAGACTGCACCTCCAAAGAGACAACTTCCTGTCTAGAGTAAGCAAGACTGCCCCCACTATACGTTTTATTATCAGGCCACAATCATTGGCCAGACAGCTTAACAGTGTAAGCCTCAGGTGAATGCAACCTCCATCTAGCTTTAGTAAAAAGTCAATTTGTTGCCCATTATAACAGACAGAACCACATGAAAATCAAAGTCCGCAAACAATTCCGTTTCCAAGGTATTTTTATTTCAAGATGAAATGGAACAACAGCTTTAACTCTGTTAGGAGTACCAGCAACTTGCACTTCTTTCTTTTTATAGTTAAAACACTCCAGTCATTATTTCAAAAGTTCACTCTAAGCAATTCGTAAGTGAATTCTCTCATAAAAAGAAAATGGAATTTTTTTTTTAATCCTTCTCAAAGATTCCAGATTTGCGTTACTCATCTGCAGCTAACTCAACTAAAATAAAGCTACTATTAAAAATCTACTAAGCATGCAAGCAAAATGAAGGAAAAAGAAAAACTGATTAATGTTTCACATCTGAAGTAATTTCCTTGCACCTGCAGCTCCTGTCTGGGAAAATTACTACAAACACAGCTTAAAACAAGACTAGTATTCATAACATGGGCAATTTTTCACTGTTTTACTTTCCCTCATTCCCACAATTCCTAAACCTGGGAACTTTTACAGTTATTCTGGACAAAGTGAAAGTATAGCACTATAATATTTAAACTTGCCATTTGCACCTCTATTTATTTTTAATCTTTTATTCATTTAATCACTGACAGCATGTTTGTTCAAGAATTATCTTGAATAAGAAACTTTGTACTGACTTGACTTCATTGCTTCTGCATTTACAACTCCTGCTGTGATTCCTCATATACCTATACCAGGCCCCAACAAAAACCGCAATGTTAAAGATTTCTTACAAAGACAGAAAATGCATTTTAATTGGATATAGCCCTATTACATTTGCATTTTTCAATGACCAAAAACCAGTATTGCATTAAAATTGTCTTCCCAATAATTTCACTAGGAGCTGGATTTAAGCTGATGGTAGACAAGGTAAAGCCACAAAAGTAAACAATAGAAGTTTTAATATACCACACTCTTCCACCATATCAAGTGGTATTTCTAAATGAAGAAAAGTACCTTTTTTTTTCTTTACATATATTAAGCAAATAGTTATGGACATATTGCACATATCCAAATAAAAAGTAGCCGAAGAAACAAAAGTTTAACTTTTGCTCTAATAATTCAGTAACAAAACACTGAGCAGTTTTTTATCCAATAACCAAAACAGATGTTTCTGCATGTAGTATTTAATCTTAGGAGACTGGAGTAGGTAAGCTACAAGTTGACACTTCATAGGAGAAGTCTCTAGTGTATGTGCTAGCTAGCTACCATGACTAGTAGCACAGCCTGAAGAACATTTTGTCAGTCTACTGACACAATTCACCCCACATCAACCAGGAGCAACAAGCTAACATTTTCTTACCAAAATCTGAGCACCTTTCTTACCACCAGCTTAAAATGCCGGGCTTCTTCTTGTTGTTAGCAGTCTTATGACTTTTGTAATTTTCAAAGTTCTAGCTGTGTAATAGTGAGGCATAATTTTTATGATTTTGGACATTAATGTACACAAGGCTCATATAATCACTGTTATTTTCCACACTATGCTTATGGTCACAATAACATGGCACAGGGAACAGCTGCAGCAATGTTAACTCCCTTAAAACCCCAAACATTTCTCCACAGGGCAGAAATGCTGAGTTAAGAACTACTTAACTTCCTAACTTCTGGGTGACTTGACATACAAAAGAAATCACAAGTCTGTAAGCTATTTGTAAGATACCTGGGCATACATCTCACCCCTTAAGAGTGAGATTCAAAACAGTATGCATGCAAGCAAAAAATCATTGTGGCTGGAAGAAACTGCAAGTGTTAGACTTCAGTTACACAAAATCAGAGGTCTTTACTCAGTGTTTCAAGGAAACATTTATCACTGTCCTGAATATCCTCAAATATTTCAAGCATAAGACCTTCAACCTTCAGCAAAGAAGGTGGTTTCAGAAAGTCACTCATAGCCCTTCTCTTTTCTCTTCCCTTGCCCCTCACTGTCATCACACTGCTCTTCTAGCAATGCTAAATATTTGTTGTGTTGTGGGTTTTGTTCCAGGCATTTTTTTTACCACAATGAGTTCAGTGACCTGGTTCACAGACACCCCCATGAATGGTTGTTTTCACAGCATTACTGAAGCAAGAAGCTGCACTGCTGTTTGTACAAACTGGATTCATCACCAGTGACAGGATTCCTAGAACTTTGGGCTCAGAGAGCTATGTAATTTTCTAAATCAAAACAAAACTAGCGCCAGTAGTTACATGACTTTTACAGAAAGACCTAGCAGGAGGTACATTTCTGCTTATAACCCTACTTGGCTTTGTCCTTATAAGAAATAGTGTGAAATTAGAAGCACTGAATGAAACAGCATGCAGATAGAAAGAAAATAAATTCAGAAATATAAGTTCTTCTCAGAAACACAGAGGAATGAGGGAAAAGACTTGACTGATCACAACCAAAAACCACATGCTAAAAGATCACAGCAATAATTCCAGTATGGCAAATGACCCTATCTTTGAGAACATCAGTACCTATGAACATTGGCCTTTTGAAGTATAATGTTAAAAAAATATCCCTCATTGTTTATATTATCAGATAGTAGCAGGGTGTGATTCAAGTGTCACTGTGAAAAAAATGTTCTGCCCTCTACCAGGTGGGAATTCTACCTGTAGTGCCAAATTACAATTGCCTCTCCCCTTACATGACAACCAGAAATTATGATTTAGGCAGCCAATCCAAACATTTGGGTTGTTTGTTTATCTGAAAGGTGAGGAACAAGCACAATACCTGAGAAAGAACAAGCTGCCCATGGAACTTAACGACAAATTTCCGTAAAGATGCAAGGTATGAGACCTCTCCTATTTTCCTTGCCAGAGATCGTAAAAGAAAATAACCCTGCAAAAAATTGAGGCAGAAGCTATGAGTTTTCTGATATCTAGAAAACTGAAGTCTTTATGATATTCATAAATATGCAATCTTAGTAAAAAACAGCTGACAACACTCACCTTCAAATAGTGAACCTGCATGAAGATTTTTTCTGCTTTAAGACCATATTTGACAACAGAGGCTCCAGACTCACTCAATTCTCCTGTGCTCTCCTTTTTGGGCCTAAAATGGAAACACACTACTTAAATTTTGGATAAGTAAGTAAAGAGATAAGTCATACTTTACAGGTTCTGATAGTTGAAAGCATTGTGTGGCATTAAACACCTGCGACTAATTTAGTCTTTTTCTTCACCATAAGAATATAAATTTACTTAGACAGTCTAACAAGTCAATTTTCTTCAAAATAAAATTCATCAGTAGGTTGGTGTAGTCTTTTTACAGTCAGCACGACACCAGGTTGCATGTCATTTTCCAGTGCAGACACCTTATGAACAAAGAGAAAAAAATAAACAAAACAAACATTTTATGAGAAGGGGAAATGGAGGGGAGGACAGTGAAGTCACCATGTTCAACTAGAGCTTTCTCTTTTTTTTACCTGAACTTTGGTTTAACAGCTTACATGACTATCCTTGCAAGAATAACCTCTTTCATCTGCATGCAGTAGATTGCTGAAGAAAGTGTTCTGATTTTCATTTTTCCATTTGGATTGGAAGAAAAGTAGTTCAAATTTTAAAAGCGGAAGAATTTTGCACACAGGTTTGAGGTTTACAGAGAATAATGTCTAGAAAAAAATACTATTTACTGCCTGATTTAAAATGCAATACTGCATCTGGTATGCCACGATCTACAACAGTTAAGTGTGGAGGACTTTTAGACTCTAAAGAGCAGAGCCTGAAACTAAAGAGAAGCTATGCAAGCATTTTTTCTTTATTTGTAAGAAGTGCTTTCACAGGCATAGTACTGAAGATAATCTAGATTTTTTTCTTCCATTCAGAAAACATCTCAACTAACAGGAGTCTGAGAACAGTAGCCTATCTTTGGAGCCTAACCCTGTGATTAAAACAACCTCTCCAATTCTAAATGTGGATTTTGAAATGGCCAGTCTTCAAAACCAAATGTCTTTCCCTTCATTTCTGCAGCATAGGGGAAATATGGGCCACAGTAAGGCAAGATCCTTCAAACCACACCACTCATGCAGGAGTGATTTCAAGAGCTTTGTAATCAAATTTTTTTTCCATATCTGTGGCTCATTTGAAGGAAGTGTTCTTCCTTTTTTATATCTGTGTCACAGTTTCTTATTACTGTTTTGTCCGAGTGCTAAATCAGGGTATTTTTTCAGCATTATTATTAGGGCTTGTGCACATGAAATCCACTATACACAAAATTTTCATAAACTGAAACTGTTTGAAATAAAATACAGAGAAAAAAACAGATTGAATTTTACACTGTGTTTCTGACATAGTTCTCTTCCATGTTATCATTCATAAATATCTTTCCAGTAAGATCTTCCCTCAACATTGAAAGAACAATAGCAGTAACTGTTTCCTTATTCTATAGCAACTCCAGTCCTTTCAGACTGTGTAAACATTGCAGACCCACTGTAGGAAAGCAGAAATTTCCCTTCTGGAACAGTCTCCTGGAAAGAAGACCTGCTGACATTCCATACATGACTTTTCATCATTGTCTGCATATATAAAATGCAAAATTTCCTTCAATTCCCTTAATAAATAGCCCCATCTATTGACTTTGATAAATGGAGTTTGAGCACAGGCTACAGAAGCCACACTAAATTGAAATCTCTCTCATAATCACAATTATTCTAAATTAGGCAACCATACTTCCTTCTCCTCTGACTTTGCGCCTGTCTAGATCTTAGGACTGACCAGAAAGAAGTATTGCATCTGGACGATGGTAGTGAAGAATTCCATAGAGAAGAAAACATATACACATTTCTCTGCAAAAGCTGTATATACATTCTTGAAAATGTCTGTAAAGGAGTGTAACTATTTAGAATGTAACACTATTCTCTGCTATCAGAACTTCAGAACAGTATTTTAAAGCAATGTTTACTGTATTTACCAGACATTGAAAGTACAAAGATTGAAATTTTGTTACACTGACCTACAAAAGCTACATCTAACCAGGTAGATAAAGTCCACCAATGCTAAAGACACCCTGTCTCAAGATACTCAAGATGCTATCTGGTACATTTTAGATACTGGCAAATTTCTGAAGGAGGCAGAAGATGCTGCTTTCTATTTGCTGGGATGATAAGTACATTGCACTAGTAAAAGTACAATGCACTGGGATATCCTTGGTAATTAAATGCTCTGATGTGCCAGGTGGTCATGAAAACTTACACAGAGACTGTAAGAGACCATCTGAAAGCATATTTCCTACCAGATAGAATAAAACTCTTCAAACACCTACAGAGCAGTCAGAAGCATTGCTTCAGGACAGAATGGACCTGACACAAGTGGAAGAGTGTAATTTAGAGTCAGATATCAACATTGGCTTGACTTAATGAATTACCACAAGACGCAGTTCAGCCATAAGAGCCAGGAGATGAAACAAGCATCAACACCAGCTTTATTCTGCAGCACAGAATGCTCTTCTTTGCTTTCCTCACAGGAGAGATGAGAGTGCTGGGTGAGAGTACTGGTGTTGATGATCACCAGCAAAATGAGTACCAAGACCTTTTTCATAGGTGCTTTTTTCCCTGCAGGGCTCTTTCAGATTCTGTGAGAAAATAGGCAAAGGTCTCTTGGAAGTCTCATCCTGTATGAGCATGGATGTGCCACAAAATTCTTCTTCAACGTTAAGATTGCTCGAGCTGCCTTTCAGAGCTGCTGCCTGTTGAAAAGACACTTATCCAATTTCTTTCTTACCAGACCTCTTTTTTTAAAGGTAGCCTATGACACACCACTTACTATAACATAGCACCAAGTATCCATAATAAGAAGAAACATCAGGCTGATCATCAGTTTGCTGAGTGGCTTTCACCCAGTCTAAAAAGGTATTCATTTGGTGGATCAAAAATTGATAGGATCAGCTGGTAAGTTTGGGGCAAACTTTTCCAGCTGTCAGGAGAAAGCACAAATAATCATATGATCAGCAGGCAACAAAAAAAGTAATGGAAAAATGAGCTTATGCTTGGGAAGAGTGAGTTGGTTGATTTTCTTCTTCCTGAAATTATTGGCAAGAAGTAACAAATAGTTATAACTTACCTTTAATACTCTGTATAAAAGCACAAGTTAGAACCAGCCCAAGCCTCAGTAAAGACTCAGAACCCAGACCAAGGGTGAGGACTGAGATTTTCTCTCTTACATGCCAATTTTGGAAAGTATGAGGACATATTTTCAGAAGGATGAAGAAAAGGAAAAAAACCCCAGTAAATACGCAAAAAGAAAATTTATTCATGTCCATGCCCCAAAAATATTAGAAAATATTTATATCTGACTGAAATCAGTAGGAAGTCCTTAAATGCAACCACAAGGAACTAGAGATATCAGAGAAGAAGAAATGGCCAGAATCACAAAATGGCATCATGTGCCTGGCCTGAAGTGTTTATTGGAGACACATTTTTTAAATGAAAAATTTTTTGCTCTTTTGTATTAGCATTAGGAATACCACTATCCAAAAGGTTAGAAAAATGCTTATTATTATGTAGAATAAATGTGCAAGTCAATAGAAAGTATAAGTTTCATTTTCAAAATAAATCAATCCTCCTTGAGTTTCAAACTACAAAGGATTATGGCCCTTAGAAAAATTATTTTGAAAATTTACACCACATAACATTTGATTAAAAGTAACATCTACATAAAAATACAAAAGACAACAAATGTGATTCCATAATGCTGAAAACGGCATTTATCGGGGGCAAAAAACCCCGATAAGCATCGTATCCCAGGAACCAATAGAAAAAAAAATATTTAAACCAAACAAAAACCTCAGCATGTAAATTGGTAGTTGTGTTGGCAGCAGCTGTATAACAACTAGTGATTAAGCTTGCCTTTGCATTTACTACTATGGTTAAATTACACACCTGAACATTTACACAACTGTGTAACCTCATTGGCTCTGCTTACACATAGATACACCATTCATCAGTAAATATAAAGTAAAACAGATCAGTGGAAGACTACAGTTACACAGATGGTGATATGCTTTTGGATTACATGAGGCCTTGAAGAGGAACTTCCATGGCGGTGAGCACTCTCTAGAGTGTCCAAATATAGTAGAGCCTTTTAGTTTCTACTGGGCAAGCACAAGAAGAAGGGAAGACCTTAAATGAATGAAATGGAAATAGTGTTCCAAAAACATATAAAAGTTGATAATCTAGAAGACGGGCAACAATTTATTCTTCACTTCCACTTGGTGACAGAAAGAAATGAAATCTACATTGTTTGAAACAAACAGCATTTCAGTTGTGCATTAGGAAGCAATTTTTAACTCTTAACACTAACTATCTTATTGAGACAGCTTGTCTCTCTTATGAAAACTTTTTTATTGGAGCCTTCTAAGAACGTGTTAATAAGAACCCACTTAGGATGGTCTGTGTGTTCTGCCTTTATTTTAGAGCAGGAGAATAGACTACATAATTGTTTGAAATCTGTCCCTGTACTTCCAAGATTTGGTCAGAAATCATGGCTAATTTGAACTAGGATTAGTAAACTCATTATTCTTGGTTGAATATCGTGAGGAGACAAGCTGTAGAAGCTCAGTGGATCTTGAATTAGACAGACATTCAAGATCAAAGACTGTTTGAAAATTCCTATCACACCAATCAGAACAGATTATTAATCACTGGCAAAGGAAGACTGTCTTTAGCTATCTATAAAGAAGCCTTGAGTTTAGCATCTGATACCTAAAGGCCAAAAATCTATTTTAAATATAACTATTAGCAATTTCTAATTAGAAAATAGGTTTATAAAGTTTATATATTATACTTTTTCCATGTTTTTTAAAGCTTCAATACCATACATTTAAAATACCATACTAATGCATGCACTTGCCTTCAGCTACAGAAAATGACACTGTTATGGCTTCCAACAGTGAACTTTTTCAGGAAATGGTATTTTATTTTTTCCCTGAATAGAAGCTCTTGTAAACTGCTCAGAGACATTTAATATCAAAATAATCCCATGGTTTTCTAAAAGGTTTCTATAACAAAGGGAGAAGCAATTGTATTACAGTCAAGATATATAACCCAGTCAGTTTAATTTGCATTTTCTTTTTTTATTAGAAGGAAATAAGGAAATGCAGTAGATTTAATCAGATGACTCGGATATATATCCTTTGAAGGGAGAAAATGTGGAAAACAGGAGAGAGCGAAAATACAAAAGCGATGATGGTGCTATCATATTGTTACCTTAAAACTTGCAGCTCTTCTTCAGAGTTTTGCACCTCGTCTCTGAGTCTGCGCCAGCGAAGTAAAGCTTTCAATTCCTGTTGCCCTTTTATTTCATCATGTGACAGCTACTTAGTAAACAAAAAACACAGATCACTGATTGCTGTTTCCCAACAGACAATAATAATTTGCAGAACAAGACACTGGGTTTGTTTCTCTTTAAGGTGCAGAAGAGGCAGGAAAGGGTATCAATATCCATGATAAAAAAATAACAGTTGCTGCTGTGAGACATAATAGCAGCACTAAGGAAAACAAAAGTCTCACTGTGCACATCAAATCAATAGTCAGTTCAATAGCTCTGACTGAGGAGAGAGATGGGCGTGTTGTATTCCCTTTAGTGAACGGCAAGAAACAAACTGAATTTACAGCAGAATACCTGACATAGAGGTTTTGGTTCCATCCTTACCCTTCCCTAATTGAGAGCAAAGAGCTACATTGTGTCCTGGCTTCATTCCTCTTTCCTAATATTTCTGCCATACTTCTGAAAGCTCCCTGTTGTGTTTTCCCCCATTTATGTAATATTAACAGATTCCTGCTTATGAAATAAATGCCAGGTTGCCAGCTGACAAATAATTGTTTTGAACATAATTATAATTTATGTTTCTCTATTATAAGAATAGATGGAAAATTGGGGAAAGCAAAAGCAGCTAATACTACCCTGCATTACATTCAATCACAACTGAAATTATTCTCAGAAACTATGGAATACACTCATAATCCTAAAATTCTATGATTGTATTGCATCAAAACTACTCAATAATGTTCAAAAGGTATGTCTTACATGATAACAAGGGAACCAATCACACTGTTCTTTTGTTTTCTCCTTTACACTCAGCTCCAAGAAAGATGTCTACTACAATCAAAATGCTTTCAAGTGACTAACAAAAGCAAAGAATTAATGTGAACAGCTCATGGCAGTGTAGTTATGCTCAATGTAAGGGCACTAATGAGTTTTAGAACCAAAATGGAAAAACCAAGTGTTTATACAGCCTTTCTCTCTTTCTTTTTCCAGAAATATGGTACATAATAAGGCACTCTGTTTAGTTTGGTGCTATAAATATGCCAGATACTTAATAAAATGGAGATTTGGAGGAGTGTATTATGTCAATTCCCAGTTCTACCATGCTTTTCCTCAGGTAGAAATCTGCAGACTAAAGGGGCAGAACCTGATGAAGGTACAGGAAGAAAGAACTGACATATTAAATGCTTGAAGTAGCAGAGGTACTACAGAAGTAAGAGTTGCATCAGAAAAACACTTTACTCGCTGACATGCAACTTATGAACTTCTCACCTTAAGGGGGGCAGTGATTTCTAAGTCTCTAACAGGACAGTAACTTGGTGGGCAGTAGAAGAGAAAAAAACAGTGTAAGTGCCAGTGTGCCCCATTTAAAATCACCTATTTTGCTTTGAGGTACACTTCTTGGTCACCCATTGGACGAAACCAAACAATTTTAATTAGGTGGCTGGAATATTACAATATGCAGTAAGACTGATGATTCTTCCAGTTTCAGGTATACAACAGAAGTGGAAGGAATGCACAGCAATTTTCTGATAATTGAATTTAATAACAGAGTATAAAACTTGTGGGAAGGTAATCATTGACAAACAGATGTTTCTATTCTTATTTGCACTTACTCGCTTCCTCTGTAAAGATTTGTATTCATTGTGGAACACTTTTTTTTTTTTAATCAAGTAAGCATGCAAATTCCAATACCATTTTAAAATATGTTACTTCATAGCACAGTTTGTGTTTTGGGGTTTAATTTATATCTAATTCACATATAATTTTGATTTCCACATTAATTTTGAAGCAACATGTCATCACCTTACCTGTTGTGCCCTAGCCCAAAATATATCTTCTAAAAAAGTGGCAAACCCTTCACTTATCCACTCTTCTGTCCAATCACGAGCACCAATGGCCAGTCCAAACCAAGCATGAGCAATTTCGTGGCACAGACGAGTTCCACAGAGATGGCTTCCTCCTGGCAGTACACTTTGTGACAGAAAGATGATGTGTGGGCTGCATGAGAGAAATAAGTGACAGAATCCATTACTGACCTGTTAGAACATGTATTTTGCATGTACATAATAATAACAGAACCAAAGAATGGCCTGAATTGGATGGGACCTTGAAGATCCCCTGATTCCAACTCTCCTGCTGTAAACAGGGACATCTTTCATTAGTCTCAGTAGCTCAGAGACACATCCAAACTGGCCTGGAACACTTGCAGGGATGGGGCATCCACAGCTTCCCTGGGAAACTTGTGCCAGAAGGAAGAACTTTCTCCTAATATTTAACCTAAACCGACTCCCTTTCAGCTTGAAGCCATTCCACCTTGTCCTGTCACTACATGCTCCATAAATAGTCTCTCTCCACCTTTCTTGCAGTCTCCCTTCAGGTCAGCTTTATTAGCCTGTTAGCTTCTTACTAGTGTATGCATGCTAGGTCATGACTAATAGTTTATATCTCAGGAATTTGTAGGAATTAAGTCGTACTTTATTGCTGGTTGGAAGAAAATCAAACTAAAATTCTACCATACAGCTGTAAGGTATTTGACCATCAAACAGCTATTAATTGTAAGAAGTAACTTCAACCAAAGTTTTATATTTTTCATGTTACAAGTCTGATTTATTTCAATAGAAACATTTATATATAAGCCAGGATAACAAAATACAAGCAGTATTAATATTGACAAGTATTTATCAGTTAAATGATCAAAGATGGAAATAAATAAAGGAGAAACACTTAATAAAGAAAACAAATCAGTATCCAAAAGTAGAAATTATCATACAGAGTAAAGCACATGTGTTTGTCAAAACTTCAAACAAGCTAAGATACCATCTTGTGATAAAAGTTGATCATTTTTGCAAATGTAGAGATAGGAAAACATATTTTACTACAACCAAAGAAGCAAGAAGCAGTAGATATCTACTTTTCACAACAGCAGGGGAACAATTCAGTCTGTATCTACTCTGCTTTGTACTCAAGCAAGAAGAAGAAATTGCAGGGGAAAACTGTTATGAGTTGTCACTCTGCTATTGAAAATACCCTGAACTGCAAGTTACTGCAGTTCCCAACTCATGTGCTATTGCAAGGCAGTTTCTGCTATGCTAATAGACTTTACAGACCTTAACATCTTGAAATGGATACAACTTTGAAACTAAGTACATTGAGGAAATAAAAGTAGCAGAATTAACCTTTCCGACTAATATCCAAGGGGTTAACAGGGCACCATGTCACAGATGGGAGTAGCAAGGACAGAAACCAAAACCACCATCCCATCCACAGAATGTTCCAGCATTAACCTATGCTACCCATGATCTGTATTTCAACTCTTCTCTCACTTTTCTCTCAGTTACAAATAAAACACAAGCATACCTTCAAGACCAGAGGTCTTTTAGCTCTAGCCTTCCAAGCACGGGAGGGGAGTCTATGGCGTTAAGACATTTCCAAGAGTCAAATATTATTTGTCAGCATTCCAAAAAGCTTCCCCACCTATCCCACCTTCTGTTGGAAATGTTAAAACACCCACAGTTTTCTTGGAACCAGCTGGATGTCTGGTACTGGAATCATAAAATATGATACACACGTAGATAGAAAAACATACTCAACAAATATCTCCTTATAAAAAGAAGTAGTTACCCAGCCAAGAAAGTTAATACATTTCAATCAGACAGCATTGTAAGACACAATGTAAGACATTAAAGTACTAAATCAAGGAATCAAGTAACACAAAAACCGCAAGTAATACCAGCAGCTCTCCAAATCTTTGCCAAAAGGAATTCTGATTAAAAGAATGAAGGGAGAGAGAGATGGGGAAAAGTCTGAGTTCAGAACATGATAAATCTTTTATTATAAAGCCCCTGATGAGAATAATAACTACAATTTTGAGGGTATTATTTTGGTCAGTTTTAAGCAAATGACCTCTAGTTGTGGCATGTGTACAGTGGTACAAAGAAAAACTGCAGAAATAAACCAAGTAAATAACATTCCAGACATACTGGTGGCAACATTTCAGCCACTTGGTTAAGCGAAACAAAAGTAACTCCATGCCTCATAAATAGGCTCACAGAACAGTCTGCAGGTCTACTGCAGAAAATATACAATAAAGAATGTAATTCCTGCTTTCTCCAATCACTTAAAAAACAGAAATGTCACATTTAGACAATATTCTCTTTTACAAATCACTTCAGTAAGGAAAATGTATATGAGTTAAATTTTGGCCAAAGAATATGAGCACAGCTTCCTACAAGGCTAAAATAAGATTATGTGCTGCAGCAGAATTTAATTTTAGATTCTGAGTAGAGCCAGCAACTTCCTTTCCTGAGAACAACTTAAATTATTTATTTTATTTTGTTTGCCCTGGACAAACAGTACTATCTCCAATTCAAACCATTGAAAAGTTCCCATTTTTCTTAAGAGTAATTTTATCAAAGACTGAACATGTCTCTGGAAGATGTCCAGCACCGATTAGTTTGGAAGTTTACATCTATGCATTTGTTTAAAAAACAGATTCTCTATTTTCAATAAATATTTGAATTCCAGAAACTCAGCTCCACTTATACTAACCACATCTACCTTTTTAATATCATCTAGGATATGCAATGTTCTTAGAATTGTAGAATGGCTTGTGTCAGAAAGGACCTCAAAGATCACGTAGTTCCAACCCTGCTGCTGTGGGCAGGAACACTTTCCAATAGACCAGGTTGCTCAGAGCCTCATCCAGACTGATCTTGAGCACCTCCAGGGCTGGGGAGTCCACAGCTTCTCTGGGAAACCTGTTCCAGAGCCTCACCACCCTCCCAGAAAAGATTGCTTCCTAACATCTAATCTAAACCTTCTGTCTTTGAGCTTGAAGCCATTCCTCCTCATCCTGTCTCTACCTGCTCTTGCAAAAAGTCTTCCTCCATCATTCTTATAGGCTTCCTTCAAGTGCTGGAAGGCTGCAGTTAAGTCACGCCAAAGCCTTCTCTTTTCCAGGTTGAACAAACCCAATTCTCTCAGCCTTTCCTGACAGGAGAGGTGCTGCATCCCTCTAATCATCTTGGTGACCATTCTCTGGACGTGCTCACTTGAACAGGTTGATGTCCTCTCTGTGTTGGGAAAATGTTATGAATGTTATTAATTGCACACTGTTACTTAGCAGTGCTGCTCCTAAAGCACTCCATAATTTAAGAAACTGTGTAAGAGAAAAGTAAGATAATTTGACTGGCAACTAAATTACAAGACCCAAAAGCTTTTTTTTTACCTTTTTTTTTTTTTAACAGGAAGAGAAAAGGGGCCCTCCTACCATCTGTTTGATTTACTAGAAACAAATTATAAGGCTTGATATTCATTTCTTTGATTCTAATTGAGTAGGAAAGAAATCCATGCATACATTAGAAATGGGCAAAGACAATTCACCTCAGAAATTACATCAGGACCTGACAAGGACTGTGCAGCTTACAAATGCCTTTAGCAAGTAGGGTCCAAAGTTTCTAAAGCAGGCCAGAACAGGCAAGCTGGATATGGTAAAAAAGACAGGAAACCTCTCCCAGTTAACAAAAAAAAACCCCAACAACCCTTCCAGTCGTTCCCAGGAAGCTGGACAAGTTCCCAGTGGCTCAAAGAGAAAAAGAAGATAATGACTTGTTTTTGACAAGTATACACTTGGTTACCCTTCTAAAGCAAAAGAGCATTATTCTGACCAGAATCCCATGCTCATAACTTAGATATTTACACCACTTGACTGGAAGAAGGAACAAGTTCCTCCTCCCAGTTAAATTGCAGTTAAGGGAAATCTCGACACTGTAACTATGGCATGAATGCATATAAAGGAAAAAACTATGTCCCAAAGGGAAAGAAATTGTTGTTGTGAAAGACCAAGAACAGTCCTGATGTTCCAATCATTCAAATCCACCCATGTACACATCCTTAACAGATAGTCTCTTTAACAAATAAAAGGTTTCCAACGAGTCCTAAAGATCTGAACAATAATCTGCCCATCTGAGAAGCCAAATCTCTAACAGGAATTTTTCAAAACTTTCTCTAGATTCATGACTTAGATGCAAGTGCTGCTTTGCATACAGTCTGCAAGAGTGTTTTATCTTTGGCTGCTCACACATAATCAGATGAGACACACAGCACAAACCCTAGCCAAATGTATGTGCAAGAACCTAAATACACATTTAAGATGGGAACCTGAAGTTAATTTCTAACAAACTTTTCATTCATTTTCCCTCTTAACACACAGAGATCTGCACATATATTTTCTTACTGCACATACATCTTTCTTCTTTATTAAAATAACAGACCCAATTCACCTAGAGAAATAATGAAGTCGAAAGTAGCACCAAAAATAATCACTATCACAGATACTGCTCACATATACATATATATATATATATATATTGAATTTTCTATTGAGAAACAATGTAATTCAATAATAAATAGGTGAGACAGTTATTGTAGGTCTAAAAAATCCCTTCTTAATATGTAGAAGGGAGCAGGGGAAGTCCCAAATATTTTCATAGGAATACACTAAAATTAAGGTATACATTTAAAGATTACTGGAATTTGGGAAAGTTAGAGAAATAAATGACAGTTCTTCACAAACAGTTCATGCAAATTCATCAGTTGCCTTTAACCTTATGTTTGTTCATTTTGCTCAGCCTGGTTTTTGGTAGCAGAGGGGCCACAGAGGTGGCTGCTGTGAGAAGCTGATGGAAGCTTCCAGCAGAGCCATTCACTGATGGCTCTGAAGATGAACATGCTGCTGGCCAAAACTGAGCCAATTGGAGATGGTGGAAATGCCTCTGTGATGACATATTTAAGAAAAAAATCAAAACAAAGTCACAGGGTTTTTGCTCCTAATCAGAGAAGAGAAGGAGGCGAGAACATGTGAGGGAAACAACATGGAGACACCAAGGTCAGTGGAGAAGGAGGGGCAGGAGGTGCTCCAGGCTGAGAGCTGAGATTCGTCTGCAGGCCGTAGTGAGACCATGATGAAGCAGCCCTTAGGGATCCATGGGGGATGCAGA